TTAATGACACTGTGTAGGTTACTATCTATACATTACGTTGCTCTATTTAAAAGTAACAAGATAAAAGCACTTCAGCACATAAAATTAAGATTGTCACTTGCCAAATAGAGACTATACCCTCCTGTTTACCTATAAGAAACGCCTCAAAATATCTTGAAATTCTTTATTGATGATTTAATTGTAGACAACTAAAATGGCATTTTACTTGCCAAAAAGTGATTGAATCGCTCAGTTTTTCATGGAGGCTAAAACTGAACAAATAACGGTTTTATGTATTATCTGTTGATGTTATTGTACTCATACTGCCTACTGTATCTTCATAAACACCCCAAAAATGGCAACAAATGATCATTTCCCTTGCTAAAAATTGATTACAGTGCCCTGGTCACCTGTAATGGGTTAAATTGACATAAATATTACTTTATTTATTACCTCTTGATGTTATTAGTCCCAGGATGCTGGGCCCCTTCCACATTCATAAACACCCCCAAAATGGCAACAAATGATCATTTCCTTTGCCAAAAATTGATTACAGTGAATAATGAATTCCTCACATCACAGAGGAAAATTTTTGTCTCACTCTTTCTTACTCACGGAGGGTTTTTTCCATTATTAATGGCCTGCTTAAGGTCAGATGTCCTCCTTCAGGATTTTCTGCTAGAGAACAGAATTAAAGTTTCAGTCCATGATGCAACAAACCATCACACTACCGGCACCATGCTTTAGTGTTATATATTCACGCCTGTGCTGTAACTACATTCTTTCCAAACAAAATAGACAAAAATAAATTAGAAGTATTTGGCAACATTAAAATTAAAATAAAAGAATATTGTAGATTGTTTTAATAAAAAACAATTCACACAAATTATCTTTCAAAAGTGCATTAAACAAAACAATCCACCTCTGCAGCAAGTGAAATGCATGTTCGTTTAGTAGGAAAAAATATCCTTTTTGACGTATTAACCTCATAAATGTGAAACTTTATAGAATAATAAGAACCAATGTGAACATTATGGTTTTGAAATCTGCAATAGTAAAACAAGGCAGATCATTCCAAGATTAGGGTTTATTTTTATTTTATTTTTTTGTTTCTGAGTCCAAAGATCTGCTGGTGCCACTCGAGCTCCCCATCTGTGTTTATTAATAACCCCAAACAGACCTGAGGTAGTCATAGCAGCTCCGTGAGGAGGAAGAGGAGGAGGCTGGGCCAGCTGTCTTTACCCTCCTCTCTTCTCCCGCTCATTCTCTGTCCACCCGTTTAGTTTTATCGACACGTTCTTCAGTTCACCTGCAGGATTCAACATGTGAACAGAGGGATTATGGACACATGCTAATTTGTAAGTATAACAACAATAATATGGATCAAATCTGAATTATAATTCATTTATGTACCTTCTATTGCTGCACGTTAAAATCATTTATTTTTAATGAACAACAAATTATTTGACTGAAATGACCTTTAAACTTTTGGATCCTGGTGAAAAAGGAAAGTTTGTGTTTAGAGAATTAAATGTAGCTCAGAGTTTCCTCGGGGTGTTGAGGTCCAAAGGAATGCTGCCTGGTGCCCATGTCTGTCTTGCAGAAGACAGCTGGTCTGATCCTCCCCAGAACTTTGTTTAACTACGCTAACGTTGGTCCCACCGGGATGCTTATACTCAGCTTCTGTTTCCCAAAATAAGAGCCAAACACCGCCATGGCCCCCAAACCTCTGTCAGGAGACACAACCAGGTCAGTTAGATCGATTGACTGCTGAGAGATGGTTGGCTGGGCTTGGCATTCACCTATTAGGATTGCATTACATTCCCATTATCCTCTAGATGACAACATAAAACAGCCATCCATCAACAGACACAGTGGCATGTTATGATTGGCTCTTGCTTTCATGTACTTTGTACAATGCCACTCGCTGTTGCTTCTAGCTAAGTCCGAATGTATGAGTTTGTATTAGCGCCGGGGTGCTTATGTGATTGCATGACTAGGCAAGTCTGAGGTGTGTCTAAACATTCCCGAGGTTTGAGTGCCAGGGCATTTGGGCTGGAGGGACAGCTGTCAGTAGCAGCATGGCCTTGATAAACTGCTCCAACTGCACATGGCTGAGTCCACATCTTGAGTAAATATTAACCCAACACCTTCTACTTAAAATCACAGTTTAAAGACTGATTTATGATGTCGACTATACAGGTGCTGGCCAGTAAATTAGAATATCATCAAAAGGTTGAAAATATTTCAGTAATTCCATTCAAAACGTGAAACTTGTACATTATATTCATGCAATGCACACAGACCAATGTATTTCCAATGTTCATTACATTTAAATTTGATATTCATAAGTGACAACTAATGAAAACTCCAAATTTGGTATCTCAAAAAATTAGAATATTCTGAAAAGGCTGAATATAGAAGACACCTGCTGCCACTCTAATCAGCTGATTTACTCAAAACACCTGCAAAGGCCTTTAAAAGGTCCCTCAGTCTTGTTTTGAAGGCACCACAATCATGGGGAAGACTTCTGACTTAACAGCTGTCCAAAAGACAATCATTGACACCTTGCACAAGGAGGGCAAGACACAAAAGGTGATTGCTAAAGAAGCTGGCTGTTCGCAGAGCTCTGTGTCCAAGCACATTAACAGACAGGCGAAGGGACGGAAAAAATGTGGTAGAAAAAAGTGTACAAGCTCTAGGGATAACCGCACCCTGCAGAGAATTGTGACGACAAACCCATTCAAAAATGTGGGGGAGATCCACAAAGAGTGGACTGCAGCTGGAGTCAGCGCTTCAAGAACCACCACGAGGAGACTCATGAAAGACATGGGATTCAGGTGTCGCATTCCGTGTGTCAAGCCACTCTTGAACAAGAAACAGCGCAAGAAGCGTCTCGCCTGGGCCAAGGACAAAAAGGACTGGACTGATGCTGAGTGGTCCAAAGTTATGTTTTCTGATGAAAGCAAGTTCTGCATTTCCTTTGGAAATCAAGGACCCAGAGTCTGGAGGAAGAGCGGAGAAGCACAGAATCCACGTTGCATGAGGTCCAGTGTAAAGTTTCCACCGTCAGTGATGGTGTGGGGTGCCATGTCATCTGCCGGTGTTGGCCCACTCTGTTTCCTGAGGTCCAGGGTCAATGCAGCCGTCTACCAGGAAGTTTTAGAGCACTTCATGCTTCCTGCTGCTGACCAACTTTATGGGGATGCAGACTTCACCTTTCAACAGGACTTGGCACCTGCACACAGTGCCAAAACCACCAGCACCTGGTTCAAGGACCATGGTATCCCTGTCCTTGATTGGCCAGCAAACTCGCCTGACCTTAACCCCATAGAAAATCTATGGGGTATTGTGAAGCGGAGGATGCAATACGCTAGACCCAACAATGCAGAGGAGCTGAAGACGACTATCAGAGCAACCTGGGCTCTCATAACACCTGAGCAGTGCCACAGACTGATCGAGTCCATGCCACGCCGCATTACTGCAGTTATTGAGGCAAAAGGAGCCCCGACTAAGTATTGAGTGCTATACATGCACATTCTTTTCATGTTCATTCTTTTCAGTTGGCCAACATTAGAGAAACAAACATTTTTTCATTGGCCTTTAGAATATTCTAATTTTCTGAGATACCAGATTTGATGTTTTCATTGGTTGTCACCTATAAATATCAAATTTAAATGTAATGAACATTGGAAATACATTGGTCTGTGTGCATTGCATGAATATAATGTACAAGTTTCACGTTTTGAATGGAATTACTGAAATATTTTCAACCTTTTGATGATATTCTAATTTACTGGCCAGCACCTGTAACAACTATATGATAATCTGCTTTATTTTATTATGCAATGATATATCATCAAGTTGAGGTGGCTCGGGCATCTGGTCAGGATACCTCCTGGATGCCTCCCTGGTGAGGTTTTCTGGGCACGTCCAACCGGGGGGAGGCCTAAAGGTATACCCAGGACACGGTGGAGGGACTGGGTGTCTCACCTGGCCAGGGAACGCCTTGGGATTTCCCCGGAGGAGCTGGCCCAAGTGGCTGGGGAGAGGGAAGTCTGGGCCTCTCGCCTTAGGCTACTGCCCCCGCGACCCGACTCCGGATAAGCAGACAACAATGGATGGATGGATGGATGGATGGATGGATGGATGGATGGATGGATGGAAGGATGGATGCATGGATGGATGGATGGATGGATGGATGGATGGATGGATGGATGGATGGATGGATGGATGGATATCTATAAAAGTGTAATAAATAACACCATGGAATTGGAAACATCAGAGGAAGAACCAGGATCTGATCCAAGAATTGAATTGAATTTGAACTGAATTGAATTGAACTTTTTTTTTTTTTTTTACAAAGGGGGGAGAAGCAACTATTACATGGATGAATACCAGGTGTGAGAGTTGACTGATCTGACTGGGATAACTGAGAAAAGTGATGAAAGAGTGAACAGGTAACATTAAAATCTAAAAACCAATTTTGTCACAGAAAAAAACAACAAAGAAATCAGTTTCAATAACCACAGACACCATCTACATAGACGTCCTTTGGACTGGCGCTGCCTGTTGGAGCTGCCGTAGTGGCATTGGATAGGTGTCCATTCACCCCCTTACCCCCAGTGCATTTATTTCTACCGAGAAAGGTGCTTACCCAGATAAAAAAAAACACGTTTTATTATGCTTTTTCACAAAATCACACATATGGTATGGCACGATAGTTAAAATATAAATTTAATCTAATAAAATAAATAAAACATTAAAAAATAAAATCCCAACAGATAGGCTTGATTAATCCCACTAAAGTCCCACGTGATCTGTTTTCAATAGTGCGCAAAAAACGGGTAAAGTTGTTCACTCTGCTTTGACTCCAATTGGGTTTGGAGAGTGAGGATCCCATCCACTATGGCGGCGATGCAGTTACTCTTTTCTTTTATGACATGAAAAATGTATAAGTGAAAGAGGACCTCTTTTTATTATGAAAAATATGTTTCTGCTTCTCTAAAAGGATCTTCCTTGTCTAAAAGGCATTTCTACACTTGGATAAGCTGCAAGAATTCAACCAAGCCAATGGAAAACAAGGAGGAGGACGTTTCACCCACTGGATTTCAGACACTCTTTATCAGAGAGGACCAAGGGGATTCAGATGAGATTAACGTGGAACAAAAAGAGAGGAAAGAACCCCCATCAGGCCTCCCAGAAAGGCAGTTAAAACAATCATCGTTGGTGAATCCGTACCTGCAGGAGATGGATGACTTGCTAAGAAGCTGTGAGGAGCTTACAGATGTTCCCTTTGGCTCGTGTCACTCAGCAGGTTACAGAGAAACACGTCTGAGCAGCAGTCAGGTCGGAGAGGAGGTTAGGATGAAATGTTATCAAGAAACCTGCACAGCTCCCCATGCCTACCTATCCACCAGCTACATAGACACAAACATGGAGGATGCAGAAAGAGAGATGGTCCCAGGCCAAGGTTTTGGTGAACTTACGGACAAGTGTCAGGTTTACCAGCAAACAGAGATGCCTCTTTCCTCAGCTGGTACCAAACTCAGCACCACCATGGTGGAGTACGAGGGCCAGCTGTTGGGGATGTTGGCTATGCATGAAAGCTGCATGGAAGAAGCTGGCATGGACTTTGAGCTTCAAGATCTGGCAGCAGATTTAGGCCAAGAGTACGTACACATCAGTAAGAGCCCACACCGCTATCAAGGTACGACACTGGTGCCAGTTAAGCAAGAGAGCCTGCCAGAGCTGGAGAGCCTTCAGGTTCAGTCAAAACTCTGCGTGGATGGAAGTAAAGCTCAAGAGAATGAAGGAACTCAGAAGAGACCCCACACAGATCCAGGAGACATGTTCAAGGAGAGGACAGGAATGAACGGAGATGGAACAGAGTTAGACGTGGATGAAGAGATACCTGAGCTCTGGGCTGACCTCAAAACATTAGGAGCTCTGGGGTCTCAGATGGAGGACTGCATAGAGGAGGTCCAACTGCTACAGAGAAGAAGGAAGGACCTTCTGGTGGAGGTTCTACAGCTGAGAGGCCATAAAGAACAAGAAGACGAAAAGGGAAGAAGCCAGGATATAGAAGACACTGAACAGTGGATTGACAGCAAAATTACAGAGCTGATGAATGTTTTCAAGAAAGAGGAGGAGGTGAGACGGGAGGAGAGGAAGAGGGAGGTGTACAGTCTCAGAGAAGAGCGGGCAGAGGAGGAGAGGAAGCTCTGGAAGGCAAACCTGGAGAGACAGGGTGTTCAAGAGGAGCTCAGGAGGCTGAAGAGGAGGTTATTTGCTGTAGCTAGAGATGGTGGTTTCAGTCAAGCAGCTGGGAACCATCATCGCCGTGAGGTGGAGCTTCTGAAGAGAGAGGAGGTGAGACGGCTCAAAACGCTGTAACGTCTCCAAAAAGAAACTCCCTACCAGTGACTTTTTCCCATTTATTTTCCAGGAAAAACTCAATTCCCTGGTGCTCCAGCTGACAGAAGAGAGCCTCCAGCTGCGGTCAGCCCATGGAAAACAGCTTTTAGATGCACGAGCAAAGCTTCACGCTACAACCTCCAGCCAGACCTCCAACACCCAGGAGGAGCTGATGGAGTGCAGGAGGAATTCCTGTGGGGACATCCAGCAGTATCTGCAGAGTGAACTCAAGGCACTGGAGGACAGGTGCTGCAGCTCCATCATTTTACGTTTTCACACATTTAATCAATAACTTCTAAAGATCTCGTCACCCAGGTATGAGCCCATGTTGCTGGTGCTGTTAAAGAGGAGGGAGACCACCGCTGCTGCACTGGTGAAAGCTAGAGACCAGGGTCAGGAGCTGAGAGGCCAGCTGGGACCCCTCAGGGAGCAGATCCAGAAACTCAAACTAGAGAAGGTTTGTTGTGAGGAGAAAATCAAACTGGCCACGGTGCGGAGGTGGGAGGATGTGGGCCGCTACAAGGTAAACAACTAAACAGGAGTTATTAGATGAAGCATTCAGAGCTCCAAACAATCTGCTGGTTATTATGGGATGCCTCTCTTACAGGAAGCTGTGTTTTATCTGGAAGAGCAAAGCAGAGAGCTGAAGGCTGAGCTGAATATTCAGAGGAGAAAAACAAAAGAAATGGAGATGATGAGGGAGAACCTTACAAAGCAACTCCTTCTTCACCGGTAACTTCCACTTTTAACAGTTTTACACCAAAGATTTGAAGCTGCAATGGCAAATCTGCAAAACAGGCTAGCTTTTAAACCCACTCCCTGAGCCATGCCCGCCTGATACCCGGACGTGCATGGCCAGAGGAAACGAGACCCAACCGCCATTTTCGAGGTCCAAACGTCTTTTTGGGACTCTGGTAGTTTGTCCTAAAGTGGAAGTGGTAGCAGCCGGCTAATTCTCCCTCTCTTGAACCACTCACACCAGTGGTGTTCTGTTGCTAAATTTGTGAGTGTGTTATGAGTGGACGACCCAGGGGAGTGCTGAAGTGTGGTGGTTCAGTGAGACCAACAACAGGATGGTTGGTTTCAGTCCAAGTGGTGTTATTGGTTGAGGTTTTTAGACAAATGCCAGAGAACCACTTCATAACTTTTTTAAATTGTTTTCATTTTTTAATCTCCGCAATAAATTTATGTTATGTTAGAAGAACATTGATTGTTAAGAGGCATGAAAAAAGTTTTAAGCGAGCTTGTTTTGCAGATTTGCCGTTGTGGCTTTAAAGGTGTGGTTCACTGACAAACCATTTTTTACTTATTATTATTGAAAATGTCGGCATGCAGGCTGAACATCACAATAGTCTCCTGCACCTATCTTCTGTGTTAGCTTCTGATAGAAAAAAGATGGTGAAACTCTTAAGATTTGAAAAGCCTGACAGTGTGTCACATAACATTCATGGACTCACCCATCTTGACTTGTGACGGGGAAGGCTGGTGTTGGTTTAGCGTCCAGGAAACAGCAGAGAACATCTCGATTAGTAGCAGCTAACTGTTAGCATTAGCAACTCCACCATACAGCAGAAGTCCTCCAGGCTTGTGATATTTGTGGAGATAAAACATCAGTGTTGCAAAGCAAACAGAGTCAGGGGTAGAGTCACGTCGCTGTTAGCCAATCAGAGGTGAGATGTCTAAATATCAGGAAATAAAAATTCCAAATCTTAACATCTGAAGCTCTACTCTGATCTGGCAATCTTTTAGATCCTGAAACAGGTGCACCAGGGCTTTTTGTACCCAGAATATGACTTTCAGGGCATTAATTTCTACTAGAGACCACTGCAAATGTATTGATTAAATACGTGAACCACACCTTTAAAGACGTAGGTCTAACCTGACTGTTTTTTGTTCACAGGGCAGCCACTAAGAGCCATAACATAATCGATCAGGAGGAGAAAACATGAACGTTATTGTTTTGTTTTGCTAAAACAGAAGGTGAATTCCAATTGTCTGATGAACGCACTTTACCAATGTAAACGTAGAGCAACACTGTAGAAATGTTTTTGTTATGAATAAAGACAGACTGTTTCTTCTAATGTGAGTGTGAGTCGTGACTCAGTGCCTGTCTCCAAAGAGCAGAGATGACTCCTTGTACTTTTAAGGAAAAGGTTTCTGCAGAACTTAACAGTGAGATGTATTGTAATCGAGTGAGAAGGAGCTCAGACAGGAGAGTGCCTGTGTGCAGCAACATAAGCTCTTTGCTAAAAAAGTCATGGTTTAGCAGGATGTTAGTGCTTCCAGTAAATAATTAACAATACTTGCAAAGAAATGTCACCAACACTTGAAGTTGGCTCACAGCTGGTTTAAATGTTTCACTAAAACAAACTAACTACAAGTGCTATGAAAACAAAAAAGGGCATAACTAAGAAAAGAGTAGCGACTTTGGTAAAATCTCCACTGTTTATTAGTTGTACATTAGAAATGATGCTGGAATAATACTCATCTAAATTCTTGCTCTGATTCGGGCTCACAGATTTATAAGACTCTAAAAGCACTCAAGTAAATTAACTGAGTGAATTCAAGTAACTCCTCATTGCATCTGCACAAATGCACAGTAGTATAATAATAATTTCATAATATAGAATTTGTATGTCCTAAATCCACATAGATTTAGATATTTTATTAAAATATTCTGTATTTGCAAATCTTTTACACGTGATTTGTGTTTTTTTATAGAGTCAGGTATGTTTTTATAAAAGAAAATGTCTGCTTGAATCAAAAGGCGATTATACAAAGGGCCTCATTAAAACCACATAATATGTGTCATGTGTTTTCTTTCTTTATCTCCCAATTTACATGTTGCTGCAGGATATTTGTTAATGTTGACGCTTTCAAGTAAAATGTTTGTAACAATCATAGAATGTATCCCTGATTCTGCCCAAATCTTTCTTAGAATACGTCTAAATTCACATGTCAGACTGTATAGTGCTACAGTGTCTTGTAATATGTAAAACACTGCAGCTTTTTTTTTGTTGCTGTTTTCATTACCAGTGACCTAAAAACAAAATAAATTATTAAATACAAATAAAAGGGACTTTGTTTTGTGACAAAGTATTTACATGTAATCTAATCTAATAATCTAATCTATTATAATCTAATATAATATAGTATAGTATAATATAAACTAGGGCTGCTCGATTATGGCAAAAATAATAATCACGATTATTGTGACTGAAATTGAGATCTCGATTATTTAAGACGATTTTTCAATTAATGTTGATTTTATTTGTTTTTATTCAGTCATAAAATTGCTCAGGGCGCAATCAGGACAAAAATAAATAAGAAACAAGATGATCACTAAAATAACTCCCGATTCCATGTATAAAACGACCAATATGCTTTTAGCTCATAGTTTATGACCCAAGGGCTATAGACCTTGGTTTAACTCATTTAAGTCTAACCAGTACAGACCCAAATACCAATATCTTGCAAATACTGACAGCAAGAATTATACAGTGGCATTTATAACAAATACATGCAAATAAATTGATGTTCACAAAATGTTGCATAACATTTATTTAGTCGTGTCAAGGTGCTGTAGGAGAGTACACTAGCACAGTGTCCTCAGAGAGGTTAATTATTATTTCAATTCAATTCAAGTTTATTTATATAGCGCCAAATCACGACAAGAGTCGTCTCAAGGCATTTATCAGTGTGAGGACGTTATTTCGATCTGTTTCTACCTTATTTATCAACTATTTATTTACAGGCCCATCAGTTAATGTAATAATTGTCCCAACCACAGCTGCACCCCCCCCCCCCCCCCCCCCCCAACCCCCAACCCCCAACCCGGTCTCACAGCAATCGGGCAAGCTGCACGTGTGTTTAGGGCGCCGCACGCGCACATTTAGCCGTTTTTATCGGCTCAGGACCTCGCAGGTAAGGTGTGTGTCACTCACTCTGGTTACTCTCTGAGAGCTGTTTCTGTAGCGACTGACACATCACTACATCATTCCCTTTCCTAATGTCCTGAAGAACGGTCTAGAGCGCAGGTGGAGTGTTTAGCTAACCTGCAGGAAATGTCGACGACAGTTACCCAGAAAGTAGCTAAGGGTTACCAGAGATGTTTCTGAGGTGTTCGCTAGGTACTTTTAAGATTTAAAAAGTCTCTCTCTCTCTCTCTCTCTCTCTCTCTCTCTCTCTCTCTCTCTCTCTCTCTCTCTCTCGTTATTGGTGGACTGTAAATTCCAAAGTGCAGTATACGGCTATCTGATTGGACCACCACGCCAACAACAATACTTCTCATTGGTTAAACTCAACGCGGCAAACTAGACCGATGTAAATAAACTCAGTGCAAGAAGTTAGCTGAGCGGTAGCTAAGAGTTAGACATGTCGAGACTTTATCGTGTTTAAAACTAAAAACGGTGAAGCCAGAGACTTTAAGAGGTCAGCATGTCTGTGACGGACATGTCCGCTGTGGTGAACACGTTACGGATGCTGTTTCAACACGTTCAGACGCTGGAGGAGTTTTTTACCAGCGTCCAATCTGGACACCAAGAACGGCCCGTCGAGCAGTCTGACCGCTTCAAGTCATTTACCAGAGAAACGTTTGTGTGCTTTGATAAAGACCCGCTGAAAATCCAGAGCTCCAACCAGGTCAGTTCAAGCCTGACACAATCATTATTACACAGTCATAATTACTGACTCTCATTGAAGTCCGATCCTGGTCTCCCGAGCCCTTCCTGCAGAACTTTGGGGCTTTCTGAATATGTAATTCAACAATTGGGTATGTTGGAAATAAAAAACACGCGGGATATTGTCCCTGAAGGACCAGGATCGGACATCACTAACTGTGATCCATGAACATATACGGTTTTTCACTGGTAGCAGAAAGATTTGTTTCCCTGAAACTCAGTTAAAAGTTGTTTTTCTCCTTCTTCCTGCAGACGTGCACTTTCTCAGAACTGCTGGCGTTCATCATCAACAAAATGAAAAGAAAAAAGAAGAGGAATGTCTTGACACTTGGATATAATTTTCAGGAGCAGGCATCGGAGGATTGTCATGCCGACCAGTTAAAATTTCACGGAAGTCTGAAACAAAGCGCGGCCTACATCCACAGCAGCGACATGTGGAAGGAGGTCTTTCTACGCTTTGGCACAGACGTCTCGCGCTACCTGCTGGAGAGCTGCTCATTGTTTGCTGCAGCGCCTCCGTCGTGTGTTTTCCAGCTGTGTGGCCTCCCCGTGTACGACAGGGTGTCTACCGTTGCTTCCAGTCGGTTTTATCTTCAGCCTGGAATCGGGAAGCGCAGAAGCTCTCGATTTGGAAGGAATCAGACATGTCATCAGCTGAAGCGGAAGCCTGAAATTGAGGATGCTGATTTAAGCAAAATCAGGAAGCAAACTGTGAATAAAAGAAAAAGAAAGAGGGAAGAAACGGTATCTTGTGAAAGTAAAAGAAGAAGAGTAACACACCAGGAAGAGGGACAGACCATGTCTGGGACTGCTTTCAAATGGCCTTCTGCCACACCAGCAGCCATTCCTTCCAGCGAAGGTAGTCCCAGTTGGAGATCTGGGACTTTCCCTCCTTTGCCACCTTCACAGTGTTTCATCCACACACTGGGATTCCTGTACAGGGGCAGAGGGATGTCCGGCTTCCTTCTCAACAAGAAGAAGAGATCGTCAGACGGACCTGGAAGGCTGCAGGGGAAAGATTTGATAAGGATAATCTTCTTTGAGGGTCTTATGTATATAAACGGTTTAGAGAGAAAGCCAAAGAAACTCCCACGCCGTTTTTTCCACATGGTTCCCTTGTTCAATCGGTTGCTACAGCAACACAGAAAATGTCTCTACAGCAGGATCCTGCAGAGGATTTGCCCGGTGGCTGAGCAGAGCAGCGTGGATCAGGGAGAGTTAAACTCCCTTCTGCCCAAACATTGTGCTCCTCATCGGGTCTACCTGTTTGTCAGGGAATGCCTCTTAGCGGTGATCCCTCAGCAGCTCTGGGGCTCTGACCAGAACAGACTTCATTTCTTCGCCAGGGTTAGAGATTTCCTGCACAGCGGCAAATTTGAGAAGACCTCTTTGGCCAAGGTGATGTGGAAGGTGAAAGTGAA